GAAATGTTGAGCTTGATGACGGTCATAGGTTGAGGACTAAAAATTGTCTTGGGCTTTCCTGTTATGTCACATGGTGCCATCCCAGGAATGGATTGTCTGCAAGCATCATGGTGAACCTCTCCATCTGTCTCCCTTTTGATATCTTCCCTCCTTCCCCCTCTGCAATTCATTAAAAAAAGAAATATATTACTAGCAATGAACTAAGACAAGATCCAAGATCTTGACAAATCTTTGGAGCACTTAAGTAGTGGATTTAGGCTAGATGAGGCCACTCCACCTTTATTTAATATTTAATTATCTATTTAATTAGCCTTAAATATGAAATCCCACTTTATTAGTGAGGAAATCACGATGCTTGAAAATAAAATTTGTCTATGGATTGGGAGGCAGCATGCCAATCCCATCCCATCACTAAATAGTTGGCCACCCCCGAAAATGCTGATCACTCTGATATCTTCCAGTGGATCACAAACAGCCAACTGGGGAAGGAAGGTGGCGTACTTACTGCCCCTCCTCCTGCCCTTCCCTTCCAGCATGATCAGGTACAGGGGAATAGCAGCCCTTCCCCCAAACCCCATGCATCAATGCTTATGGCTTATGGATGCTGGCATTGGCAGCTAGGCGATTGGTCGGGGGCTAACTGTCCTGTGTGTTGAAAAACCCAGGAAGAAACCTCCTTCGGTGAATGGGCAGCGCTGAAGCTTGTGGGACAGAGGGGTGGTGGCCCATTGCTGAGGGTGAATGGGTGGGGGCATGTCAGCTGAGGAGAAAAGTCAAAGGAGAGTTGCCTGAAGAGAAACACTGGTGGCAAAGGAGGGGCGGCCAATGCTAGGAGATGAAAAGTCCCATTCCGATCTGGAACAATTGTGTTGACGTTTGCACAAATAGTGCAAAACTAACTATGGATAAAAGTCCTGGCACATTAGCACAAGTCAAAACAGTAGTACCAAACAGTACTAGTAGTTATTGTATTTTTCATTGACATAAATTTTCAGTAAAAGAAAAATGCTAGTTTCACTTAACAATGTTCTTGATGAAATAAAAATATGAATTTTACTAAATCTTATTAAACCTTTGATTACATGTATTTGTATTATTTTGCATGATGGACAAGGAAGAACTCATAAAACACTACCACTACATACCAAAGTACAATGATTATCCTGAGAGATGGTGCTTGTGTCTTACTGCTTGAATTGTGAACTGAACAAGCTGCCTTCTTTATAGAACACTATTTTTTAAAAATAATACATAAAAAATTATGGTTATTCAGAGTTGGGAACTTTCAAGTAAAAACTAGAAGTTTGGAAAAACTGTATCTACTGCCGTGAGCTGGGCTGCTTCCCAATACTTAAAGACTTTTTCTGATAAGAATCTTTATTATAATCTAGCTTTATTACAGTCACAGACTAGCACAAAAGTTAAACATTAAAATAAATGTATTCCCCCAAAAATGTGATGTCCCTGTAGAACTTGCAGCACAGTAGGACATGTGAGATATCTTCATTTTCCCCATTGCCAGCTATTGGGGTTTTATCATACCTGCCCGGCAGGAGTGCTGAAGGGGGGATATTAAGTGGCTCTAAAAATGCTATTCTACTCTTGGGAAAAGTCAGGTCTTTCAGATACCTTGCTGGTTCTCACACATCCCACTTAATCCAGTTTCTGCTATGGAGAGATATCCTGTTAAGTTCTAGCTGGAACTCCATGTCTCTTATTCTATTGGTAACCACTTGCTTGGTTTGATCATAGCCTGGAGATATTAAAAACAGTGGAAGAAATCCATAGAAGGCCAGTTTATGCTTTATCACTTGTTTCCAGGGAGAGGGAAAGTTGTCTATCAGGACTAAAGGAGTCAAGCCCTCTGAGAAGAATTGAATTTTCAACCAGTAAATTTTTATCATCTTCCAAGCTTTTACCTGAATTTGAGGCATTCCTGTCTCAATTCTCAACTGGGCGTTTGATGTCCTGCTAGGTGCAGGTAAAACAGATTTGAGGAATTTTGTTTGTAGGGTTTCTAAAGACTCTTTTTTTTTTTAAATCCTGTTTGTGCCCCATAAAGAATTTGTGTCAGTGTTTTAGCCTCAAAGAGTTTTAAGGCTGTGGGGACTAATTGTCCTTTGCCTGTGTAAAAAAAGTGATAGCATTTGAGGATCTATGGATTGATTGCATTGTGTGATTCAGATGTGCCTTTCTAGATTGACCTGTATTGACCTGTTCTAGATTGTGTCCTTCTACTCTCCAAGAGTATTGAATAGCTCTTTTAGCAAAAACTAGGATTTTTGATTTATTAAAATTGAGGATCAGATTATTTTGTCTACAGTATTTCAATGTTGCTGAAATAGCTCTGTTATGTCCAATAGGGGTTTGTGAAATAATAAGGGTATTGTCAGCATAAAGAAGTATCAATATTTTGTGTTATGCTAAATTGGGATGATGGAAGTCTAAGTTATGCAGAAGATCAATCAGGGAATTAATATAAAGATTGAAAAGGGAAGGATCCAAGATACATCCCTGGCATACTCTTCTTTATACACTTATTGAGCCAGATAAAGTCCCTTGTGGGTTACACCATATTTTTAAGGTAGAGTTAGAATATAGTTTTTGTTTGAGATAGAGTAGGTGTTTATCAATATTAGTACTTTTTAGTTTATCTCAGAGCGTATATCTAGATATCGAATCAAAGGCCTATTTAAAGTCAAGGAAGGCTATAAAAAGAGAGGATTTCTTTTTATATGTATATTTTTGTACAAGATGGTGAAGTATCAAAATATAGCCAACTGTTGATCTCCCTTCCCTGAATCCAGTTTGTTTGTCTTTCATTATGTCCTCTGAGATTATCTAGTCTTGAAGTTTGTGGTTTACGCACTTAGCATACAACTTGCTAACAATGCTCAGTAGACTAATGGACCTGTAGTTACATAAACCATTTTTATTGCCCCTTTTATAGATTGGTACAATAATTGCCATTTCCCAATCTCTTGGCATACATCCAGTCAGATCTATAAATGTAAAGAAGGATGCTAAAAGGGGTGTCAACCAGCTAAGGTTCTTTTTAATTATTTCTGGCAAAATACAATCAGACTGGAAGTCTTATTAACCTTAAGGGATTTGATCAACGGGAGTAACTCTTGTGGTGTAACTTGGGGTCAGTAAACGGCTGGATCCAAATTAATCTGGCTCTCATTCATTTTATGGGCAGGGTCCATATACAACTCTCTAAAGCAGGGGTGTAATACTCAAGGCCCACAGGCCAGATCTTGCCTGTAATATGGTTGGACCTGGGCCACAGGGTCATCTTGGTCTACCCAGAGTGAAGAGGAAAGATCAGGGCAACATAGCTTAGGCCCAGTCTACTCAGTGCAAAGAGGAAAGATGCCAGCAGTTTGGGGTGTGGCATCAAGCTGAGTTTGATCCTCAGAAACGAGTTTTTACTTTTTCTGTACTCCTTATTATATGCCGTCTTTAATTTTACACAATTGTGATCAAACATTTTCTATTCTTTAAAACCCACCTCCTGGAATGAGGCAGTGTTCCATTGGTGAGAAATGATTTGACATCCCGGAGCTAAAACCTACCGAGGGGGGTGCCCTCACAAGAAGAAAAGAAATGTTTTTGCATGTAAGTGACCAGGAGGAAGAGGAGGGGGCAGCGGCGGGACCATCTTTAACCGAAAGGCTGGCCAAACTAAGAAGAACCTGCTGTTCGTCCCAGATGGACTTAGGGTGTAGGACAAAAAGAGGAGCCTGAGGAATTGGATGCTGGAGTTACGAGAAGGAGGCCAAAGAAAAAAATCAGCTGATTGGGCTGACACTGGAGAAGAAGATTACAAACTTTCCCACACCATGGGACTTCTTGAAGAAGCATGGACTGAATGCAGAAACCGTGAGAGAGCAGTGGAAAGGGAGCCGACAGAGGAATTTGAACAAAGGTACTCAATGCATNGGGACAAATTGTGCAAAATCGTGATTGTCCCGCCAAAAGCTGGATGTCTGGCCACCTTACCTATGCTGCCTTATTATTCCTGTGGTTCGTATATTTAGGGTTTGCTTGCTGAGGATGGCTAGACCTAAAAGGCCTAGTATGAATTGTATAGTGGTATTTTTTCCTAATGGGAATAACTATCTCATCCCGTGCACCACTAGGTGCCCTTTACTACCCAACCTCTTCAAATCACAGAAATGTGGAATTAGAAGAGACCACAAGGATTATCTAGTCCTGTCCTCATCAATGTACAGGAAAATCAATTAAACTGATTATGTGCCATCACATTATTTTCAGCTGTTAGGAAAGCATATAGATAGCTTTACTCCAAGATGACCTGACCCTAACTTGTTTTCCCAAGTCTCTTAGCAATGCACATAAGAGAATCCATCCACCTGGCTACTGGTCATCCTCTTCTCTTTTTTCTTTCCTTCCAACTTTCCCAGAGAGGTGGGGATTTGAACATGTCCATAAATAGGAACTCTGGGTTGATTTGCTTGATGATCCATTGCTTGATGTTTTCTGATCCATGGTATCCGCAGAAATCTTCTCCAACACCAATGAACTCAAGATTTCAATACAATGTACAGGAAAACCAATTAAACTACCTTTTTTTTCTTCAAATGGAGAACAACAACCTATGTAGGCAGACTTTTCCAAGATTTTACAGATGTTACCATCCACATGTTTTTCATTATGTTTTTCTCAATTTGGGGGGAGGGGGAGGGGCAGTAGTTTCTGTGACAATGGAAAATTGTTCCTAGCCATCTTTTTGTCATTCATGAAAAGATTGCATGGAAAAGAATTAATCTTGCTAAGGAGCAACATGAAGCAGAATACTATAAGCAATAGAATACCAGAACACAGATGAAAATTTCAAAGTATGTTTAAATGTTACACAAAATTTTATTAAACTGCTGTACATACTGTAGTTTTTAATCTGTAAATGTTCTAATAGTATTGGCCTAACATTGTCATGCATGTTAACTTTTGTATTAAAAAAAATCCATACTCACCCGTAAGAAAAATGGAAACTTCTTTCCATAAAATCCAACTCTGAAAAACTCAGGCTCCAAACGTTGCTGGTCCATAATTTTATCATATAAAGAAGCTTCCATCAACTGTGTGGATTTTGATAAATGAACAAATGAGAAAGAAAGACTTTTTTGTGTACTAATCAAAAGAGAAAAACAAGAAATATAATTCAACTGTGATCTCCTATAGATATCAAAAAATGATTTCAATCCAATAATTATTTAAAAATGGTACTAGAGAGTGTTTTGGATTTATCAAAAGAAATAGCACTTGTTTGACTCCTTCATTTTTATCTCTTTTGATTCGTATTCTTTTTCAATCATACACTTAAGGTATACTATGGTGTTGGGGGGGATTCAAAAGTTCAACTGAAATACTCCTTCAAAGCTATTTCACAAAGTACTATGGCATAGAACTTCATGATGCAAAGTGTTACATCCTGTTACTTTAACATCGTTCTGCTTTGCATAGCTACAGGAAAAATGAAGGAAGGGCTGCTGATCTACTCCAGACTGTTGCTAAAAGGCTTAGTGAATCGCCTAGAAGCAATGAGTGTTGCATCCTCTGGTTTGCTTGACAACGGAGGAGGAAAAAGGGTGCCATCAGTGAAATCTTTGGCAACTGTTACAGAGCTCATGCAGTCACTTCCTCCAGGCTGCTAATGCAGAAACTTACATCAAGTACTGCAGAAGATGTGCCATTCAACTTCTCCAAATCATTAACTGAAATACTTTGGTGAGCATTATAGAAGACATAGCACACACCTCCTCCAACATAGTTTGCATTAATATTTAGGAAGCTGTAAGAAGTAACAGTGAGAACTGGACATGGAACCACTGATTGGTTCAAAATTGGGAAAGGAGTCCGGTAAGGCTGTATACAGTCACCCTCTCTATTTAACTTATATGCAGAGCACATCATAAGAAAGGCGGGGCTAGATGAATCAGAAGTTAGAATTAAGATTGCCAGAAGAAATATCAACAACCTCAGATATGCAGATGATACCACACTAATGGCAGAAGAGAAACTAAAGAGCCTATTGATGCAGGTGAAGAAGGAGAGTACAAAAGTTGGCTTGAAACTCAACATTAAGAAAACTAAGATAATGGCA